CTAGGCCCGAAACGTCAGCCTCTCTGCTCCTATGATGCTGCTTGGCCCGCTGTGTTCATCCAGCCCTGCACCTTGTTGTCTCTATTTATCAGCCGAATTGTAATTGTCATGGAATTGTGCTATGTAATTATCACACAGTTGATTAGATGACACAAGCTTAAGTTTTATGCCAAAGTTCATTAAGAACAATGGATAAGCATTTTTCCAAGGCTACACAGGCCAGACTTGGTGAGTTAATTGATCAAATTGACATGGAAAATGTAGCATGTTTGTGATGTTTGCCAGTGGTCTGGAGACTGGATAGTGTCAGGTCTAAAATGCAGAGCTTCTTTGTATGGAAAGCAGATCAAGCAGCTTGTCTCATAGTTAAGAAAAACAGAAGTTGCTAGAAAAGCTCAGCAAGTCTGGTAGCGTCTGTGAGGAGACATCAGAGTTAATGTTTCAGGTCCGGTGACCCTTCCTCAGAACAAAACTCAGTAATGTTAACTCTGATTTCTCTTCACAGACCTGCTAAGTTTTTCCAGCAACTTCTGTTTTTGTTTCCGTTTTACAGCATCCGCAGATTTTTTCGGTTTTTGTCTCATAGTAAAAGCCAGTTAGCACGAGAGCCGATGATCAACGATGAGCAATTGAGACAAAGTAGCATCATGATCTGTTCTGGCCTGAACTTCGGACAAGTCAATGTAAAGGGGTTCACGGTGATTGTAAGCATTTTATGGGTAACGTTTTGCAGTATTTTGTGTAGTGTGCTTTCATGAAGTACATTGGGTATATTCCATTGTTGGATCTGCTTTGGGTTTTTGATATCCAGACTAAATGTGACGGACCAGGGAAAGTGGGTATAAAAGTCTACAGAGCTGTACATCTCCAGGCCAACTGAATTGAGCATAACACTTATAACTCCTCTCCAGACCGGAAGCCTGGGCAAAATTTTTGAGACCCTCGTCTGCCTGAATGTAAGTGCTCCTGTCCTGGAACCCCACTGAGTCTAAACGAATTGCACGGCACTGACTTGGTTGCAAGAGTTTTCAGAAGGATATTTAAACATCAGTCTGCCTTTGGATTCTACTGAAGATCTTTGTCAGGGTTTGTTCTTGTAGACTTCAATTTTCCAGAAGTATCAATAAGGTGTTGAAAATATTCACCCACAGCTGGGGTTTAGTTTACACGAGCCACTTAGCTTGCCTGCATACTCCATGACTCATAACTGAACCATGTGTGTGTTCCTCTGAAACTTTAACATGAGACTGCTAGGGACTCAGTATCTGTGTGACTCCATAGGGATGCACATCTGAGTACTTGCCAATGGAGAGGCTGTGAACTAACAGGGAGAGATGTACACATTTAACTGTATTTTGCTGCTGTTAAGCAATGTAAACTGCAAATGGGAAGCAAATCAGCACAGAAAAGGGAAAACTGTGTTTACTGTCTCCATCCACAACGTAGATGCCTATTTCTGACTTAAACACACACCCATTGCTTCTGTTGTTATTACTGTAGCGTCGTTTATAATGAATTGAATCGAAAGGTAAATATTAAAACTTAAGGAGCTATCCAGACATCAGCCAGATTTTCTAAATCCTTTGTCACTTGATCCATTCTTCCCCTTTGTGGATTGCTTGGGAAACCCACCATGTTGAAGGCACTGTAGAAATATCTGATGTTGGTCATTGCTAAAAACTACCCAAATCCTCCAGTAGGTACACAAGTTACTGATTTAATTATAGACATTAAGATACATGAATGGACAAATGCAGCTTCACATTGAATCCTTTATACTTAAGGAAAAAATGCATTTTCAAGTGAAATAACATCTTTACCACAACTGCGTAAGAGTGCAGGGAAAAGATTACATGTAATTTATAAAAGGAGGTTGTTTTTGTCCTAGCTCCTTATTTGATCGTCTATCATGGTAAATTTAACTTATTTTTAAAATTTCACAGGACTTGGAGTTGCCTCTCGTATCCACATCTCTGACCTTCCCCAGCTGGTTGCTGCTTTCCACAGTCTGGTTGGTTTAGCTGCCATGCTTACCTGTGTGGCTGAGTACATGGTGGCATATCCGCACTTCAGTACAGACTCTGCAGCCAATTTAACCAAGATCATAGCCTACATTGGCACTTACATAGGTGGAGTGACATTCAGTGGTTCTCTTATTGCTTATGGCAAATTACAAGGTGAGTTTGAAGTCATCTGCATTTTAAATAGAACATAGAACAGTACAGCAACAGGCCCTTCGGCCCACCATATCAACACCGATCATGATGCCAGTCTAAACTAATCTCATCTGCTTGCACATGGCCCGTATTCCTCTATTCCCTGCCTGTTCATGTGTCTGTTTAAATGCTTCTTAAACTTTGCTATTGCGTCTGCTTCTATCACCTCCCCTTCTAAGGTGTTCTGGACAGTGGGAGCCTTTTTCCTCGGATGGTGATGGCTAGCACGAGGGGACATAGCTTTAAATTGAGGCGTGATAGATATAGGACAGATGTCAGAGGTAGGTTCTTTACTCAGAGAGTAGTAAGGGCGTGGAATGCCCTGCCTGCAAAAATAGTAGACTCGCCCACTTTAAGGACATTTAAATGGTCATTGGATAAACATATGGATGATAATGGAATAGTTTAGGTTAGATGGGCTTCAGATTGGTTTCACAGGTCGGCGCAACATCGAGGGCCGAAGGGCCTGTACTGCGCTGTAATGTTCTATGTTCTATGTTCTACGTAAAAAAATTTTGCGTGCAAATCTCCTTTAAACTTTTCTCCTTTAGCCTAAAACCTATGCCCTCTACATTTCCATGCTGGGAAAAAAAGACTCCGACTATCCACCCTACCATGCCCCTAATGACTTTATATAATTCTATCAGGTCACTCCTCAGCCTCCAATGCTGTAGCAAAAACAATTCAAGCTAATATACTCCAATCCTGGTAAAACTCTTTTGCATTTTTCCGAAGCCTCTGCATCCTTCCTATAGTGTGGAGACCAGAACAGCACATATTCCAAATATGACCTCACTAAAGTTTTATACAGCTGCAACATGACTTGTCAGCTTTTATACTGAATGCCCTGACCCATGAAGGCCAGCATGCTGTATGCCTTCTTTACCATCTTATCCACTTATATTGCCACTTCCAGGGAGCTATGGACTGGAATCCCAAGTTCCCTTGGTATATCAATGCTCCTAAGGGTTCTGCCTTTTACTGTATACTTTCTCTTGCATTTGACCTCCCAAAATGCATCATCTCACACTTGTCCAGATTAAACTTCATCTGCCATTTCTCTGCCCAACTTTCCAATTGATCTATATTCTGCTGTATCCTTTGAAAACCTTTCTCACTGTTTACAACTCCACCAATTTTTGTGCCGTCTGCTAACTTACCAGACCACCTACATTTTTACCAATGTCATTTACACATATTACAAACAACACTGATCACAGAGCACTGACCCTTGTGGAACATTACTGGTCACAGACCTCATGTCAGAAAAACAACATCCCCCCACCCCAAGGGCGGTACAGTGGCTCAGTGGTTAGCACTGCTGCCTCACAGCAATAAGAACGCGGGTTTGATTCCACTCTAGGGCGACTTGTGTGGAGTTTGCACATTCTCCCAAGTCTGCGTGGGTTTTCTTTGGGTGCTCCAGTTTCCTCCCACAGTCCAAAGATGTGCAGATTAGGTGAATTGGCTATGCTAAATTGCCCGTAGTGTCCAGGGATGTGCAGGCTAGGTTGATCAGCCATGGGAAATGCAGGGTTACAGGGATAGGGTAGGGGGGTATGTCTGGGTGGGATGGTCTTCAGAAGGTCGGTGTGGATTTGACGGAATGAATGGCCTGTTTCCACGCTGTAGGGATTCTATGAACTATCCTCTGTTTCTCTGACGAAGCCAATTTTGTATCCAATTTACCATCTTACCATAGATCCCATGTAACTTAATCTTCTGGACTAGCCTACCACGAGGGACCTTGTCAAATGATTTAGTAAAGTCCATGTAGTCAATATCCACTGCCCTAAACTCATGAATTATCTTCGTCACTTCCCCAAAAATTTCAATCAAGTTTGTGAGACAAGACCTCCCCTGCAAGAAAAAATGCTGACTATCCGTAATAAGTCTTTCCAAATGTGAGCAAATCCTGAACCTTCTTCAATAATTTCCCTGCCACAGATGTAAGTCTCACAGTCTTATACTTTCCTGGATTATCCCTGTTAAACATTCTTAAAGGAACATCACTGAATATTGCCCAGTCTTCTGGGTCCTCGCTTGTGGCTAAAGAGGATGCAAAGATCTCCGTCAAGGCTCCAGCAATCTCTTCCTTTGCATTCCTAATTAGCCTGGGATAGACTTATTGACCTTAATATTTTTCAAGACTCACACCTCCTCCTCTTTAATATTGACATGCCCCAGAATATCACCATATCCCTCCCTAATCTTATTATCATCCATGTCCTTCTCCTTGGTGAATATTGATGTGAAGTACTCATTAACAAGCTCACCCACGTCCTCTGGCTTCATACATAAATTCCCTCCTTTGTCCTTGAGTGAATATACCCGTTCCCTAGTTTCCTCTTGCTCCTAATATGTATATAAAATGCCTTGGGATTCTCCTTAGTCTTACTTGTCAAGGACATTTTGTGGCCCCTATTATCCCTCTTATTTTCTTGTTTAAGGTCTTTTCTGCTTCCTTCCTATTCCTCAAGGGCCTTGTTTGATTTCAGTTTCCTAAACCTTAGATATATTTGCTTTTTTTTTGGAGTAATCGTTCAATAAGTCTAGTCATTCAGGGTTCCTCAGTCTTGCCATCCTCATAGGAACATGCTGGTCTTGACAAGATTCCCACATGTCAGATGTAGATTTACCTTCCAACATCTGCCCCCTTAATTTCTCCATAAGTGCATGTACTTTAGGAAGAAAATTAGAAGAAACTGATTAATGTAGTCAGAGTATCCAGACCTGGAGACTCTGCAGAATACATTGCAGTCTTTTCACCTCTGGGCTTTAAAGTTAAGTGGAAGGAATGAAACATCCAGTTCCGTTCCCCTCACCCCTTCAGATGGATGTTATCGATTGTTAAATTCATATGTCTGAGGTCAAGGCTAGTAAAGATTAGAAGGTAAAAATTGTTTGCTACAGACATCCTGGTCATCAGGATGGACAGGAAAACATTTTTACAGCTCAGGGGATCCCTGTAAAGTGGCTGCAGTGTTCAATTGGAAACACAAAGGCACTTGCTGGGAAGATAGCAGAGAAATAAACAGCTAAGACAATAATACAGGATTTGTTCATCAGTTTGGCAGAGCTCAGGTGGCTCTTGGCTATTCTGGAACAAATTTTGTTTTAATAATGAATTTATAAGGTAGCACGTCATCTAGAATGAAGGAAATATCTAGGATCCTGTGATTGGAATATCAGTAATGCTGAAGCACCCGCAAATGTGTGAAAACAGAAGGTCAAGAACTCCTCAAATCAGACTCCTTTGGATTGAACAATTTCTGTATTTAAAATTGATAAATTAAAATGAAAATAGTTGGAAGATGTCTAGTAGAAGGTGTTAGTATGAAGTTAATCTACATGCTTGATCCAAAAATTTACAAAATTCTCAATTTCATAATAATTGGATTTTGTATGATGTCACCCGTAGGGTCCGATATCTTAATAGTCCTAATTATATGGACTCACTTCTGACTTTTCCCAGCATCCAAACCATGAAGCAGGTTTCTAAGTTTTAATATTGCATTCTATCCTGTTAAACTCCACATATTTAATAGCACAACCATCCTGCCATTCAAGATCTTTCCAAATCTGTCCCCTGTGCTGGCTATACTTCACCTTGCTGTGCATTAGGATGTTAGTGGCTTTGCACAGTAGACCTGGAAGAGAATCTGCTTTTGTAATGACTAGATCTCTTCCATGAGCAGAGGGGCAGACACTGTTGAGTAACAAAATTATGGGGAGGTGGTGGCACAGTGGTAATTTCACTGGACTAGTAATCCAGACCCCAGGTGGACATGAGTTTGAATCCCACCGTGGAGAGTGGTGTAATCTGGAAAAAACCTGGAATGACGATGTAACAACTGCTTTGCAGAGTACCTCATCCTATGACCGACCCTCCCTCTCATCCTCGCCTCCTTGACCTGACACAAACCGTCCATCTTCTCTCCCACCTATCCGACCTCCAACCTCACTGGCCAATCCCCACCACTCCCTACCTGCACTCACCTATCTTCCCCAGCCCCACCCCTCCTCCCTCTATTTATTACTGAGCTCCCTTTGTCCCCACCATTTCTAAAGAAGGGTCCTGACTCGAAAATTTAACTTTCCTGCTCCTCTGATGCTGCCTGGCCTGCTGTGTTCCTCCAGCTACACACCGTGTTATCTCTTATTCTGAATTTATGCTGCCTAGTCCAAGACTCTCACACAAAGGGGAACAACCTCTCTGCATCTACATTGTCCAGTCCTCTATGAATCTTGTATGTTTCAATAAGGTTGCCAGTCATTCTTCTAAATTCCAATGAGTACAGGCCCAAACTACTCTGGGTGTAGATTACAGACATTGGTGGTAGTGTTGGTGGAGAGTGTGGGCGGGTAACGCGGGTAACGAATGAACAGTACAGCCAGAATCATCTCTTTGAAGGCACATAGACTGTTAATGGTGATAATGAATGATATAGAGAAGAAAAGGTCTCAGCTAAATTCCCTTCGGAGTGGAATTAGCTGGAGTAACAGTGAGGAAACCATGTGCTGTCCATCTTTGGGTAGGGGAGAAGGAATGGGAAATAGTCGATAACGCATTTGGAATAAAGGGTCCCAGGTAAAAGGCAGGAAAGTGATTGTGAGGAATGTCAGATCAGCCATGATCCTGTTGAAAAGTACAGCAGGCTCAAGGAGCTGAATGGCCTACACATGTTCTATTGCTTATGGTCTCACCTGTCAAGTAGTTCACATGTGGTAACCAGGCTGTGGTTGAGATGCCATCTGTGATGTAGACTGTATGATTACATGTATTTTTAATATCATTTCTTGTAAGTTTGAATTTTTAGTTCTCGAGTTAACAGCTTATGGGTTTCCTGTGCATCTGAAGTTAATTATTAACTAGTAAATATTTTTGTTGTCATGGTGATTTCTTTTAAAACAATTCTTGAGGCCTAGCTTAGGAATTAACAGGCTATCATGCACAAATA